ATTAAAAACACCACATCCTTCCACAGTCTTGCTTTTGAAAAGCTAAACATATTTACTGAAACTTTCTCCGGGACATGGTCTGCCAGAACATCGGCCAGTGACTGCTACATATGGCATGATGCTATGTCCCATAATCTGAACCTGAGCTAGAGCTGGATGAATTATTTGCAAACACTATAAAGAAAAGCATTTGCAGATGTGCAAAGGGGAAGAATGACACAGTTTGTGAAGTCGTCTGAAGAGTCAGCATGGGGACAAGGGAAATCCAGCTGATCGTCTGCTCAGGTTTCTGAAAGGAATTTGTTTCTACAAAGGCTCCTATTGAAATTTGGCTGTTAGAGGTTGGGAGGGAAGAGCATCATGTATAGAAATACAAGAAAGAAAGGCTAGGAATCTATATATATAGTCCATTTTCTCAATGGAGAGAGGCTACCAGTAGATCTGTGCTGTTTTACATAGACCTTAGTGACCTGTAAATGTGAATGAAGAGCACACTGGCAGATTTTTAGTGACACTATGCTAACTCAGGATAGCAAAAATAAAAGCTGACTGCAAAGAGCTGTATAGGGACTCACAATACTAAGTGACCAGGCAATAACACGGCACATGAAAACACATGATATAAAGGTAACACAATGGGGAAGTAAAATAATCTTAACTTTATAGAAAAAGTTATGAGCTCTGGGTATTTCCATTCACAAAAGAAATGTTGGAATTTAGTAGCTAGCTCCTTGAAAACTCCATCTCACTTCCCAGTGGTACTCAAGAAAAGAAACCAAAATGGTTTGGAATTACTGAGAAAAAAAAATAAATAAAACTGAGTAGAGGATGCTGCTAGAAAAATCCATTTGTGTGGTCACACCTTGAGTACTGGGGCAAGCTTTGATCTTGCCACCACCAAAAAGCTACATCGCTACTGATCAGCACATCATAAAGACCACTTTGGTACACGTGTGAGCTGTCTCCTGAGCAAAACTCCACACTGCAATAAGGATGAGCCCATCTTCTTAAGGACACTTCACTCTTCTACAGGTCTTGTCATCCAGGGATCTCAAAGCATTTTACAAAGGAAGTTAAGTATCATTAAGCTTGCTTTATAGCTGGGGAAACTGAGATGTGGAACAGCAATTTAACTTGTTCAAAAGTAAAAAAGCTGATGAAGGTAGAGACATAAGTGAACTCCAGGTCTTTCTATCATACACCCACCCACAGCAGCTAATTGATTGTGGGGAATTATTTTCAACAAGACCCGAAAAGCAAAGGTTAGAAAACTGTTCAGTTCTCAAGCACAAGGGGGAAAAAAAAACAAAACTATTAAAGCTGAACGTAAGGTCTGAAAAAAACTAAATATTTGATCTGCCTGTTTGAAAAACTGAAAATGTAATACAATTTTAGCTCCGAGAAATATCGCAGAGCAGTTCATTTCGGGGGTCAGTTCACAACAATAGTTACTGAGAAAAAATGCAGCTCAGTTAACTGCCTCCGGTGCCTATTTTCTGGTTCGTCCTCTGTTCTTGCTGTGTTTTCACGGTTCACCAGTTCTTTGACAGGGATTACATTTAAAATTGCACATAAGAAGTGTATTTTTCTTAATAAAATCAGGCTGAAATTCAGTTCCCTGACATGTATTTCCAACCCTTTTCTCTTTCTTTACCTTCGGAGAGGGATGTATGATTAAAACTTGATTATGCCACTCTGGGAAAAGATCTCAGAATTTAAAAATACCCACAAAGAGAAAATCCTTAACAGAGTGTCATTTTTCTAGTGCTATCAGAAATTGAATTTCAAAGCATCCAATGTACTGAATGGTTAGATCTCTCCTGGGATACGTTAAAGAGAAAATCCATTCAGGAATGAAACAAAGGATGATTACCTACATTTTCTCCCTCACCTTTTTCATCAATAAAAATACAAGTTTCTCGTCCAATATTCAGGATCAGCATCTGCACTCAGTTGCCTTTGCCTCTGAAATTGTCTCTGAAATTGTCACTGAAATTGTTCCCCTGTTTTCAGCCCAAGTCAATGTTCCAGTTTCTTCTAAAGACAAGCAGGAAAGCAATCAAACAAATCTCTTTGCTGCATTGCTCAGAGTTTCTGTACCCTGAGATATAACAGAGAATAATATGGTTTAAAGATGGACTTGAGGACTGCTACCATGACCAAAGGGCTTTATTTCTTTGGCCAATCTGCATTTCCCACTGAGGCTCAGAACTCCCGCATGACCTGTTCCTTGGTGTTATGCTTGTGGTGCAGCAGTTCAATGCATAGAGGCAAAGAAATGAAATACCAAAACCAATGGAAACAATTTTGACAGACAAAATCCTCCTACCTTTTAAAGAGACTCGGCATCTTTAGAAGCAGGTTTTATCCCTCTGGAACTAAGAACATTTACCAACAAGAGCACTCTAATCATATTGCCCCTGGTTGGTATAATGATGCCTCTAGAACAGAGAATGATGCTACCTTTGCCTAACAGGGAACCAACACTCAGCTGTGCTGGACACCTGGGCCAATGTCTCACCACACTCACAGTAAAGAATTTCTTCCTAATATCTAGTCTAAATCTGCCCTCTTCCAGTTCAAATCCACTGCCCCTTGTCATGTCTCTCTGTCTTTCCTGAACGTTCTTTCATAAACCGTGAACTTCAGCTGAACATTTCAATTCTTCATTAGTTCAAATCCAGCTCATCAGCTGTGACTGAAAGAGGTCACAGAGTTGTAACACTTTTGAAATCTTTGTGTCTTCCATTTCTGGTGACCATTGTTGACTGGAGGGAAGAGGAAAGCAGCACTTTGTCCCCATCTACGCTAAGGCAGAGGCACACTGATGTACTGGGGGGTGACGTTTGACTGTGTTGCCTTGAGCGCATGACAGACGTCAAACTTCAGCGCTCTCAATCCAGCATTTCTCACGGCATCCTTGAAAGGGTCAGTGGCTCCGATAATTTAAGTCATTATTTACAATTTGATTTTATTCGCATAAGGATCAAATAAATGAGCCTGTCAAGTTGCTTTAACACACTGTGGAGTTGTGTATTTTAATTATAAACACGAGATTCAACTGTCAGTTTAAAAAAAAAAAAAAAAGGAGGGGAGTGGGACATTTTAGCAGTCATGACTGCATTATAACAGGAGTTTTCAGATCTGCCTTTTAGACTACGTTTCCAGAGAGCTCTTTTCCTCACCCTGCAGGGCTTTCTGCTGGGAGTAACCACAAGGAGAGGGAAAGAAGGGCTTGCTCCTATGTTACTTCTCTAAATTGTATTTCCACCCCACAGTGCAATTACTGTTGTTATCTCATTAGTGTTTTAATTAGAGCTCAAGTGCAGGCACCCGTAGAAAGGTTCAATACACAACGTCAGTCCAGGGCAGTAGAGCTATCGGCTCAGTTTAGAGAGGTCTCAAGGCTGCTCTAAATTAGAGGCAGATATAATGACCTATACATAAAGAGGCAGCCTCCAACTGTACCTCCAGTTTCTGTGCCTCTGTGGGGTCTTTAAATAAAGTGCTGCTCTGGGGAGAACAATTTTCATGACTCTAAGTTACCTGTGGTATCTGCCAGAGATACTATCCAAGGATTTTACCGATCTTGTTAACTAAAGGGGTTATGGTAGATTCACAGACTTATAGGCAACGATGTGAAAACTAAATGCTCCAAGTGTTGCAAACTTTCTACCTTGTGTTGTCTAAATAGGATTTGTCTGTGAGTTAGTCTCTGTATTAGTGAGTCAATTTACTATGAGGCTGTTTGTGGTTTTGGGATGGCTCCTTTGGTGACACACCATTATATTGTGTGCATCACACTAACGGTATTTCTCTCCCTAGAACATAAAGAAAAGACTTTTTACATAAAAGCATTTTACAAATATTTACAAATCTTTATGTTCTAATTTTACAAATGTTTTTACCTTTTTTTTTTTTTTTTCTTTTTTCTTTCTTTTCAGCTAGGCACAATATGATCTGTTTCCTGCATCTATAACAATTAACACAGAACTTAATTCTCTTGATTTCAGGTCAGGAAACATTCAGATTGTTGCCTAGGAAGGCAGCTACTAGAGAAGCTTTTTTCATGCTGAATCACATGAAAGGCACAGCACTGACAAGGTGACAACACAAGGCTTCTTAGCCTTGAAAAAACCGGCAGTGGGTGTCTATTCTGGAGCACCTGCACCTTCTCCATGGGTGTTGGAGTGGCATAAGGGACAGTTACACCGAGTCTTCGTCCCTAAGAGAGGGGACCCCACTGAGCCTGTGAATTCTCTGTTAGGACATCTGCCTTCTTCTTAGGTCACTTTTACTGCACGGGAGTGGAAGAGTAGAACTGGGTTTTTCAGCATTGATCTTTTCCATCCACACCCAGTATTTTCTGGGAAAGCACCACTGTATTTGAGTTGGCGGTTCAAAATGGTTTATGAACGAGCTTCCTTCTTCCTCTCCTACTGTTCACTGGCACAAGGGAGAGAGTGTTGGGTAACCTGATAAACAGCCTGTAAACTGGAGGTGGCACTGAAAAGGAAACTTAACAAGAGGAAAGCTAACAAGCAAATACACAGCAATGATGGGGATGAAGACGAAGATGACTGCACAAGGAGATGCAATTCCTCACCACGATTATGACATTTTTCTAATCAATGGGCGTGACAGAATTGCCCTAGTTCTCAAGAGTGGAGAATCTCTAGTGGATGAGCAGATACTGTAGCATGCCTCCTGGTTTTGAACATTTTTCCTTCCCACATCACAAACCATTGTACAAAGGAAGGCAAACAGCGTTACAGAAGGAGGAGGAAAGAATGGCCTAAGGTCAAGGAAACAGCCAAAACCAGATCACTGCAATTGTGACTTGCAGTTAGCTGCTGTGGCAACTTCAGAGAACAGCTGAAGATGTTTGACCTTGTTTGTATGATATTTGATGTAAAAGTAGATGTGGAACATCACAGATGCTTATCAAATTACCCCTCAATGGGAGCTGGCAGTGTCCTTCCACCCACATACATACTTACCAGAAGAACAAGAATCACTGGCCCTTGATATATGTAGTCAATATATTTCCCTGGTTCTTTTCCAAACCAGCATCTGAAAGAAAGAAAATAAATAAGAAAATAATTTATAAAGGGGAATACACAACATAAATAACAAGGACACCATAGAGAGATGTTCCTTTACTCCCGGAGTTGTTTAATCATGTACATAATCAGCAAGTGATTGAATTTTCTGCTACAAAGCCACTTTTTGTTTGGACACAGATCTGAGTCCCATTTTCCCCTCCCATTAGACCATTCATGTTCCCAGTATGTTTTTGGCTATTGCCCATGTAAATATTTCCAAGAAATGTGAGAACCTACTATAAGGAGGATGCAAAAGATGTGTCCTCCTGGGTCTGAAAACAGGATGAAAGAAATATTATTTGCGAGGAAAAAAAATCTGTTATCTATTGCAGTGTCCAGTGACAATTCCGTAAAGTCAGGTTTGTTACTTACAGCCAATATGTCCTGAGCTGCTGTCTAAATAAGGTACTGGTTGAATAAGGAGTTAATTGCATTGGCTTTGAACCAAGCTGGTGACCACCAAATCCAGCACACAATGCAGAGACATCATTTGAAGTTAGCAAATCCCTGATTCCACATCACCAAAAGGAAATCAACTTAGGTTAAGTGAAAGCATAGATAACTGAAGGGTCTGAAAGCAGCAGAGAGCCCGGACGTGTCACGTGTGACTGAGTGCTGGCTTGACCTTCACTTCCACTAATTACAGGTGGTTTTCTCCCTGCTGTGTTACACAACAGACTAAACCTGCGATTTCACAGTCACCCATGTTCACTTCATTCTCATAACTGAGAGCAATACCTCAGTTACATTTATGCCAGTAAATGAATACTCAATCATTTACACCATGACATTTTCCTTGTTGCAGTTTGGCCCAGGCCAAACAATAGCCAACTCCCAAACTATTCCTGGGGAACAAATCTGGAGTTAGCATGAGCCAGATGACATTCCCAATAGTTTACAAACTGTAGCGAGGTTTAGAGGCCAAAAGGGTTCAGTAATATGGATGTGAACTGTTCCATGCTGTTTGGACTCCAGCCCCACGAACGATCCCAGGCCCAGCTAATTTAATATTACAAATACAGCCACATGGTCTGGATCCTAGTTCCACCAAGGAGAGGCAACTTTGCTATCATAATGCCTTAAAGTTTAGGTCATTGGAGCTCCAGATGCCTTAGGAAGTAGATATTGAAATTTAAAGGTTTGAGAGGTTGCGGTTTTTTTGGTTTTTTTTTTTTTTTTTTTTTTCCCTTTGTGGATAACACATAAAAAGTCTACAGAAAAAAAAAAGAATAAGTGATTATCCTTGTTCACCTTGTGACAAAAAATAAGCTTAGTGTCACTGGAGGCTTGAAAAGGGTAATTCCTAAGCCAAGGAGGCCATGGAGACAGGTGCAGGTCTGCGCTTTCACAAGCATTCCAGAAATAATCCTTGTTGCCTCCAAGAGTACAAGGCAAATAAATTGAGATAAGGAAAGCTACGGCTTTGTGGAATTATTTATGGAATTATTATAGAATGATTAATTTATGGAATTATTTTGACTCACATAATGGCCCCAAAGCTTTCCTCCAAATTATGTTTCTTGCTAAAACAAAAGGGGCTGTTTGCCCACTGCAAAATGCTCTGACCGAACCGAATGTACGGAAACATTGAGATGTGCAGCAGGTATCTCGGATCACAAATCAGCACCACACAATTGTTTGTCTTTCCTTGATTCAATTTCTACATCTCTTAAGTTCTAAAGAAATGAGAGAGCTTTGGATATTTTATGAAGATAAACGATGCCTGTTAGTCCCTGGTGCATTGACTGCAAATTAGTGTAAATTGATAATTTTGCAATTAATGTTCCAAAATTTGGTGATGAGAGCAAGACTTGGAATAAGGTACTTCCTGCAGCCAAGTTATCATCCAAGAAGGATCCCCAGGTCAGCCTCAAGTGAAGAAAAATGATTTTTTTTTTTTTAACAGAGATGGAAAGCTATGAAGACAAATGGATTGCAAGATATGCCAGGGCAGGAAACACAACTTTCCAGAACTTGCAAGACCTACATTTGAGAGAGGTTTTTTGAAGGGCATTTTGGGATAACTATTATATATTGCCTGAAACTAAGAGAACCAAGAGATATTAGGATTTTCTGCAAAGCTGGCTGTTCTAGCAGAGAAATTTCACAGAGGGACTCATAAGAAACAGGCTGAGGCATGTGGAAGAACTTAGTGGGCTAGAAAAAGCCAGCAGAGAGTTTGGAACAGAGCTGGAAGAGCACAAATGAGGTTCCAGGGCAAAGGCTACTCATTGCTCTTCGGAATTTAAATATTGCTTAACGGTACGACCATACTGAAGAGCAAAATGCTGACATTATCTGAAGCCCAGTATTAGACCAAGGTTGCATCGAGGGAAGCATCGTGTATATACACGCTTTCACACAATCTGAGGGAACAAGGCTGTGGCCAAAGCAGACTTCTACAACACAGGCATCTCCACAGGAACTTGATGCTCCAGGAATTAGTAGAGAAAAAAAAAAATAAAAAAACCCAGCTTTTCCTAGGATGGTGTTAATCTTATTAGGCTATAAACCAGATCTGTTATGTTGTAATCTAAAGACTCCTGATATACCCATTAAATCAGACGAGTGAGAGGACAGCTATGCCAGTGACATTACATATGTCTGCATTTGATTAGCTGTTTTTTATATTTACAGTCTAATGGTTCAAACTGGGATCTTAGCTGAGATATTACCAACTTTTCTTCCTGTCATCTTACTTTAAATCCAACATTGAGCCATTATTTCTGCAATAAAATCAGCACTGCACTTTTCTTTAGAACCAAAACCAGAAACCTAAATCACTGAAAATTACTTGGTACATCAGAATCTTTATTCCATCTGTGTGAAATAAAAGCCCTTTTTTTTTTTTTTTTTTTTTCTTTTTTAACTCTGAAAGAATAAACAACCACTCCCTGAATACTGAAGAGGACAATTTAGGAAGACAGTTCTGATTAGACTTAGTTATGTAAACACACTCCTATTGAATAGCACTAATTAATATTCTTCATGGTTTTCTGATAGTTCTTTGTATAACAAAACCCAACACTGGTTTTATCATTGTTGTTAATTAGATCTTACTAACGTTCTTCCCCTTACCAACTGTCCATCAATGAAATTACTACAGTAACTCTTAATCATTTGTGTGCTGTTGTTTATTGAGACTTAACAGCACTTTTTTCACAGTTGTCAGATTTTGCTAAAGAACTGCTAAACCCCAGACACCATATTCGCCACAGTACCAATTATATTTGCCTCAATATGCAGAACATGGTCTCTAGTAAGAACAAAATGAATAAATTAGGACACTGGTTGAAACATTTTCTTAACATTCTCCCTGTGTGCTGTTTTGAGTTCTTCAACTATTAGGAGCTACATAACTTGAACTCCGGTTCACCCTCCAAACCTCTTGTCCTAGCACTGGGCACCACTGAGAAGTGTCCGGTTCCACCTTCTTTGTACCTTCCTATAAGACATTTATAAGCATTGATAAGATCCCCCAAGCCTGCTACTCTCCAGGCTAAACACTCCCAAGCCTCTCAGCCTCTCCTGGCATAAGAGATGCTCCAGTATCCTGACAGCAATTATTTCTCAAAGCCAGGGATTAGTTTTTATCTCATCTGTCCATATTTGCACACATTTAGAGAATTCCAATTAAAAGCATGATTTCTATCCCATCCCAGCACAGAGGAAGGATTTTGTAAATGCCACAAAGTTTAGTCTAAACTGTCCCACAGGCTGATGGACTGGAGAGGAGAATAGACCATAAGTTAAATACACACACATTCCTACATATGCTTCAGTTTGACTGTTCATCAGAATCTGCTCCTTTCCTCAGGCTGGGAGGCAGTGTGCAGGGGCTATCTCAAGTATGACATGCTTTAATGCTTGAGAAGATGACTGAATATTTATGACAATTGACAGGCCCTCAGCAAGTCATTAATCTCTTTTTTTTTTTTTTTTTTTTGTTGTGGTTCATTTATTTTACCGAGTCTCCTCTGCGCATGATATTACTACAAATGCAAAAAGCAGATTTTATTTAATAGCCTTTGACTTACAGCTTAATGGCCTTATCAGCTCTTCATTTACAAGAGCTCTGCTTGTCTGCCTTGGTGCATGTGCTAGATGAAAGGAATGACACTATTGAAGCATCCATTCTCGATTTCTCAAGCAGAGTAAAGTGCATGAATCTTGGCCCCACCACTGACAATAAGTGAGCATAACACCGAGTCTCCAGGCCATTACACCTCACACTATGATGGGCAGAAGCCAAATTCTGCACTTTCTCGGTGCATAACACATTTGGAATAGCTATGATGTGCAATGAGAATGCATGTGAATGTTTCACTCCAAGGCAAACACCAGCATTAAAGACAGAAAGGTGAAAACGTCCCAAGACATCAATTAATTGTCTGAGTCGACCAAGAGTAACCTGGCAGCTCCCTTATCAGCAAGCATGTGAGACAAATGATGTATATGAGTTACAGTGTACGGGTTTGTCCATGACATGGATGTAAAAGCACAAGCTCCATTTGATCATCCACCCAAGGCAGAGAGCTTGAGCCTCAACAGGAACACCCTGGATATTCTGCATCCCAAATTCTTGCCCTGCTGACTGGATTTTACATCCCTCTTTCTTCTGTTATGCAGGATCTGCGCCAGTTCCACCTTCACTGGTGAAAGGTAGCACACATACCTATATAAACATATCTTGTGTTCTTCATACCTATGATACATCAAGGTGATATTCTTCCACATTCACTTTGCAGTGATGCAATGACGGTGAAAGAAGGCACTGGCACACATGATGCAGTGGTTTCTCCAACTAGCCATCTCACGCAGTGTGATCAGAGATCACGGAATCATAGAATTGTTTAGGCTGGAAAAGACCTCTGGGATCATTAAGTCCAACCGTTAACCTAGCAGATGTTGTGGCATGTTTCAGTCAGGGGTCCTACTCTCCATTATTTCTTTTGGGAGCGATGAGCAGTCTTCCAAGGTGAGGTGTTCAGACCTTGGTGCTGAACTCACTTGCAACAGGAACGTTCAATGTGCATCGCCATTATTAAAGCATGTGGTGTTTCAACTCTCTAGGTTTTAAGGCACAAGTTTTGGTTGTTTTGGTTTGTTCTGTTTAAGCTGACTAGTTCCTTCAGCTCTAGTTTTAGAGCTGGAAGTCTTACTTCAGCACAATGAGACAGCTGCCATGCTGCCCTGGCTTGTGCAAGGTAAAAACTGCAAGGAACCTGACTGTGAAGCAGATCTAGAACACTGTGATCCTTCATCCATCCAGAAACAAGAAGGTCTGTTTGTGGGGAGCAGAGAAGAGGAACTTGGTAGTGCACAACAGAATTCCTCCCATGCCTTCAGTATGGATGCCCAAAGCTCAGCCAGTCATCCTATCCTTCTCCCTTATAGTCAGGAGAAATAGTGCATGTAAGTCTAATCCATCCAACCTACTTTGGACATCTCCTTCCAGATGAGATGAAATGCACCCCAGCCTGCATTTACTGTTTTGACTCATCAGGGCTGATCGTAAGAGAGACTAGTGCAGATGCAGACACCTACAGGGTCAACACTTACATTTAATCAGATGTGCTGTAGAACAGTGTGGTCATATGAAAAACAGATTCACGGAGAAAATAATTTTTTTAAAGGTTAGGGAACGCAGCTGCAACAGACAAAAGACATTGATCCAAACACTAGCTGAAAAATACAAGCTGACCTAAATCCGACCAGTATCGATGTTTGTGGGAAAAACTCCCAAAACACAGATGCCTCTTTATTTCCCATATTTTTCAATATCATGCACTAACTGCTTCCAATTGGAAAAGCCAGAAACAGAAATGCAAAAAATTCCAGCCATAAGATTATTCTTGGCAGACTGTCAACTGAATTCTGCACATCCAGAAGGCTAAAGCCTTAAGCACTCAACCGTAGTTTTTTACCAAGGTCCTACTCAAGCAAAACTCCCATTGAAGGAAATTACCCTGACTGTAAATCATGTACAAAGCTATCAAATGAGAGCTTCAGGGCTTGGACAAGGATATTTGGGAATGGTATTTTCAGGAGTTGACTCAAATAGTGCTCTGAAATTAGAGATGGTCTGGATCTGGATGGAGGTGATTTGACATTTTCTCTTTCCTATCAATCAGCCTCATTACTAAATTACCAGTTCAGCCTGTAGGCATTTCTTAATTTATTTAGAGAGCCACATAAACATAAATGTTAACATCACTTACTGTTCATTTTCATAATATAGCTTGCCAATGGCCCAGGCAATGATAATTGGGCAAGGAATACCTGCAGGAGCAAAAAATCAGGAGTTAATCACAACCCATGTATGTATGTATGGTACCAAAGCAGATTCACATTTGTGTGAGGACAGTCTTGGTTAATGAATTGAAAAACTCTAAATACAAGTGGTCCTATCTTGGTATCCTTGAGACATCACAATTCCTAAGACCTCTTTATGTAAAAATAATAAGGATCATTTCAACAAGAGAAAACTCTCAGTAAGAAAAGTCAATAAAATTATTAACAAAGACAGATATATACCTATATTTCTATATAAGTGTTCAGAACAATTTGGCTGACTTAATGGCAATTTTGGTCCCTTTTCATTTTCCTGCAGTTGATACAGCAAAATCTTATAGACAGTACTTTGAGGTGGGTGCCTAGATTTTTATTTCCCCGTCTGCAAGAAGCTTGTAAACTTATTAGGATCTTTGGATGAGGCATATTTTCAATATTTTCAACAATTTTTTGAGTTGAGTCATCCCTATGAAACAGGTTTATGGGAAAGAATCTCTTGCTATCATGCACTATCAGAATTTATTTATTTTTTGCCATTTCTAAAAAATGAGGATGGTAAAAGACTGTGTATAGGAAGACAAAGGAAAGCCACAAAGCACCCAAAAGGGTGACAGGAAGGGTATATTCAGCTCACACCATTTCCACATTAATAATCAGAGACCCAGAGGGCTCTGAGAGAGGTAGGGAGGGAAAATATCAGGGAACACACCAGTCAGGGGGTCTGTGAGAGCTGTGTGAGTAGCTGAGTTTCCAGTTCGGTGAGAGAATTGAAAAATATTGAAAAAAAAAATACCAATTCCCCAGATAAACATTTTCTTTCTACTACAAGTCTTCTTTCCTCCCATTTGATTTTGGATTGAAAGACATATTTTGTTTTAAAGGCTGTTTCTGCCTTCAGAACTGCAATTCAATTATTGCTGCTCAATTCTGAGAGGAAGAGGCATTTTGGAACAAAACGTCATTCTACTTTCAGAAAATAAAATATTTGTGACCTTTTTCCACCTTTCTTCTTTCAGCAGAAAAGAACTGCCAAATTCACTAGTTCTGTCTGACCTCAGATTTGGTATTCAAGCAAACAAGCTGCCCGGATGGATGGATTTGTCTTCCTAAACCTCTCCTGGCCAAATTCAAACCATGGATTTGTTGGTTGGAAGGGACCTCTGAAGGTATCCACTCCAATCTCCTGCTCAAAGCAGAACTATCAACACTAGCCCACCTCAGCCAGGGCTTAGCCTTGCTGATTATTCAGTACCTCCAGGGTCAGAGATTCCACAGCTTCTAAGTCATCTGTTCCAGTGGTGCACGATCTTTTGGTAAATTTTTTGTTTTCTTAATGTCCAACTGGTCCCTTCTTATAACATCTCCTATTACCAAGAAGAATTTGGCTCCATCATCTCTGTAATTATCTTTCAAATCATTGCTACCTAACAGGTCCTTCAGCCTCACTTCACAGGTCATGTCTTCTAGATCCCTGATCATATTGACAGCCTTCTACTGGGTAATCTCCAGTTTTTCCACATCCCTTTTGATCTAACCTGACCACAGTATTCCAAAGGCAGCCTTACCAAAGCTGAGTAGGAAGTATTAGTAACTTCGCTCGATCTCCTGGCCACAGTCCTAGTGCAGCCCAGTGTGAGTTTTACCTTACTCATGATGAGAAGGCACTGATGGCTGATGCATCGTCAGCAAGCCCTACATCTTTTCAGCAGG